ATAATATTCTTCATATTTCTCTAACAAACATATCCCTTATGTCCTTTAACGCGATTATTATTTATTAAATTAGCTTTGCGCATCGTTCGTTGAATTCTGTTCGGACACGGAATTATTTAAATTCAAATATCATTTATGTACTTCGACTGGGTTGCTTATTGTTAATCTTCACTGTACATATCGCATACAAATTTCATACGGTACACGTGAGAAAATTAAAACGGTTGTCACGGTTAAACTACATATTATTTCGGGACCGAAAATTTAGTAAACATTCTTCAGACATTCTGAAATAAGGATGAATAGCGTTTTTCTTGAAATTATCACTGTCACGTGGTAAAAAAAAATATCAAAAGTTCATGCTCCGTGACTTGTTCATTGATTCGGACGCCGCACACAGACCCTCCTTCAACTGTCAAACTCAGCGGTAAACGCACGTGCCGCTCGGCCGATCGATAACCATATGGTTCGCGCCAATTCGTCTCATTGGCCAGTGTTTTTCGTTAATAACTTGCAAACGAAGCCGCGGATTGCATTTTCGCAAAAGAAAAAGTTACTTCAAATGACCTCAGCTACCCCTCATTTTCGGCTGTTAAAATAATTGTGGGACACCCTGTATAATAAAACTTATACGAAGGGGAAATTAAAATTCTAAGGAAAGTAAATGTTATTCTAAATACTTGTTTATTATTATAGATGGTTCAGTTGTAGATAATAGATCGAATAATTACTTTTTAATGAAATTGATCTTTTTCATTTAAAGATTGCTCGTAAAGTATCGAAAGAAATTTAATTTTTTAAGCAGATAATGTGGCCATCATATTGTGGACTTTTGGATAAGGAACTCGATCGAGCAAAAGTTAACCAATTTTCTAAGATTTTCTTAATAATTACGTTCTTTTCTGATTACTTGCAAGGAGAGGTTCACAGGGATGACGCTCACTTTTTTATGAGATTTGGTACACTGATAGAGCTTGTAAAGTCGAATCCAATGATACTCGGTCTTAGGGGCAGACGGCTTATAGTTTTTGAAATATTTAATATTAAAATTGTTAATAAAAGGCCAGAAAGACGTATTGGATTATTGCCGTGTCACGATCAAGTGACGGATCGAGTCTCCCACCTTTCCCCACTCTCTATGCCACATTGCCATATATTGGCACAATAGCAGAAATATTAGGGAGTGGGGAAGGTTGGAGTATCAATTTGACCTCTCTAAACGTGACGCGCAGTGCCCCTTCCCCATCCCACCTCCTGCCACACGCCGCGGCGTAATCCAGCGCGTCTTTTCGGCCTTTTATTATCAACTTTAACGTTAAATATTTCAAAAACTATAACCGTCTGTCCCTAAAACCGGGTATCATTGAATTCAGCTTCGCAAGCTCTATTACTGTACCAAATCTCACAGAAAAAAGTGAGCGTCACTCCTGTGGAGTTCTCCTTGTAAACATGAAATTTCAGTATGAATCTATTTTTTTCTTTTACAGCTGGGGATCCTGCCGGAAGTGGGTTTTATGTTCTCGAGCCATCGATATCTGCTTCAGACGCGCTTTGTGTTCAATGTATCCATACTGATATGGGTTGGTATGGACATACGGGACCCTGCGGTCACTTAGACTTCTATCCAAATGGCGGAGTTAGGCAGCAGCCTGGTTGTCCAGAGTCGTTTGATTGCATGATACTAATCCATGGAGGACACACTCCTTTATGCTCATTTGGTGGTAACGCACGTCTCTTTCTACCTACTTTATTTGGATACGTAGATAACGATTATCGGAAAGATTGAACCTGAAACATTCTTGTAATACCAAGTTTCCCAATCAGTTCGCGTTAATATGCGATCGTTACTCTTTTTAGAACTTATAAGCGCATGCAGTCATAACAGGGCTGACAAATACATGGCAGAAGCTGCGAGGCACTCGGAGGCATTCCCTAGTGTAGAATGTAATAGTTGGGACGACTTTATCCATGGCAAATGTGATCGGAATGTTACAATACCTATGGGATACGCTGCACCATGCTCTGTGTCAGTATAACACTTTCATAGAATACTTTCTTTGGTTTCATAGAGTTGAGTGCATGTACTTTTTACATTTCATTTTAACAATTACATGCTACAATGTTGCAATTTCTGGTTAACTGTTATTTCTATTTAATATTTTATATTTACATTTCTAAATGTTGATGCGTGATTGTATTTTTCAGTACGGGCAAATTCTATCTCCAAACAAATAGTAGGTCTCCGTTTTCGAGGGGATTGAATGGTACAGCCTATGAAGACTATGTTATACGTCCGTTAAGGTATAATTAATTAAGGTATAATTAATTATTATTTTGGTGTTTTGTGTTGTATGTGGGTCATAAATTATTATGACTACAGTCTTGAATATAAAGATCAAATATTAAACAATTTTATCTGCGTTTAGATATTATAATACAATTGAAATTGGCAATTAATTTCTTAATTTTATGACTAAAACAATAAAAATAGAGGTGGGCAACGTGTACCCGTTTTATGTCGTTTTCATAATGATGGATAGTTCAATACGGCCCATTCGTCTTATAATTTGATTGACCTCCATTACACACCAATAACATAACATCCTTTTGAAGATATAGTTTAATAAGTGTGCAAATTATTTCTTTATGAACAATTTAATTTGCGCCATCTTTGCTTCTTTTTAAATTTTCTTAATACCTTTATAACTTTGCATTTAACTTGTTAATACTTAATATTAATGCATAAAATCCGCAGTTGAATAAGACGATGTAAGAAATGATAGCATTGTCCAACTCATTGCACTGCGTTCCATTAACTAATAAACAATTCTTACGTATTTTCACACGTTGCCTGTGAATATAAAAATTGCTTTCTTGTACGATCCTCATTATACTGTATGGGGACCATGGCGTTAATGATGAATTTGGACTTTCTTACGTTCTTCATCGAAAAAGGAATCTACATGTTACAGCCCTATCATTTTCTGCTGTTTGTTAGTTGTTAACACGAATTGAAAAATTGTTTGGAAAGTCTGGTGCTTAAAAAGTCAGAAAAAATTTAAAAATATATACACTGAAATATCTCATTTTCCCTCGAAAGAAAACTAAAAACTAATGTAGGGTGACAGTAGTCTGGTTATTGGAATTTATGAATAATTGGAGATATTCCTCGTACAGCCGAACCTGGTCATTTTTCACTCTTGTCTTTGACGACGAAGAATGAAAAACGTAACGTTAAGCGTATCGGTTGCACTCGGCAATTCTAATGCTGATCAAAAGTGACCCAGCATATTCACTTTTGCTTTAACGGTTGCAAGATTAAGGCTTGTCGTATGACGGCGCGATGTTTACTAATTTGCACGCTTTGATAAAGTAAAGCTAGCCGATAACGTACCTTTCTCTTTGACCGTGCCATTCTTCGATCTCTCACGTTTTCAGCTTCTCCAGGCGGCCTTTTGCCCCACACCATGACAGCTATACTAGTGTATGTAAACACGAGGACCATTATTGGTACCACATACTGTAGAATCATTAACGCTACCGAGTAATAGTATCTGAAACACACACATACGAATGAATAGCCGTCTATGAACAAGAGAGCACAACAATTCAATCCCATAGAGTGGGTGAATGGCCACTGTTTATGTTAACCCTCGCATGGCAGATCGTTTATGACCGCGAGCGGTAGTTTCAGGGTCCATGTAGATCCAAGTCTGGATTTAATTACTTAGTATTTGAATATACAAGATGTCCCAAAAATATCTCGCAATACGGAAATGGCGAATGGCTGAGGTCATTCTAAGTAACTTTTGTAGCCTCAATGAGAGGCGAGGGCGCGAACTACAATGTGGTCGATCACTCGAGCGCAACGTGTTCCGACCGCGGAGTTCGACAGAAGCAGGGGGGCTCCGAGTTGCGTTCGAATCAATGAACAAGTCACGAAGCAAGAACTTTCGAATTTTTTTACCACGTGTCAGTGATAATTTTTTGAAAAACCCTGTTCATCCTTATTTCAGAATGTCTGAAGAATATTTACTAATTTTTCGGACCCGAAATAATAAGTAGTTCAACCGTGACAGCCGTTTTAATTTTCTTAAGCGCATGTCGATTCGCAAAGCTAATTTAATTGCACTTTCAAGCGATCAGGCCCAACATCTGGACTACACGTGCACTTGGGAGGGATAGAATTTTAACGTTTGAAAATTCCTTCCTTTCCATATTGGGAGTCCGCAACACGTGCATTCACACTTTCGTTAGGAATGTTACCAACGTTAACGGGATGTCGAAAGAGACACGGATTCACTTAGTCGCAGACCGTGCCCCGTGAAACATCGTCAGCGTTTCCCGTTAAAATGTATACGGTTCAAGAAGAATTTAACACCGCGTTTTATTCTATCGGTGTGCTCCGCACAATTGGCAACGGAGTAGGGAGGCCACGATCCTGAAGAACTATGGCAATAGAAGATATTATATTATTGATTTTTAACGCAGAATCAAACAATTCGACACTCTCCCCTCCCTTCATAGGATATCTCTACTGTTTTGAATTATCAGTGTTTTGGATTATCAGTGATTAATTAACCGATCAGTGTTTGATGACAGTGCAATGAAAGTGCGCTTAAGAAAATTTTAACAGTTGTCACGGTTACAGTATTTATTATTTCGAGTCTAAAAAATTAGTAAATATTCTTTAGACATTCTGAAATAAGGATGAACAGCGTTTTACTCAACATTATCACTGTCATGTGGAAAAAAAGTCGAAAGTTCATGCTCCGTGACTTGTTCATTGATTCGAACACGGCACGGAGCCCCCCTTCTTCTGTCAAACTCCGCGGTCGGAGCACATTGCCCTCGAGCCACGTTGTAGATCGCGCCCTTACCTCTCATTGGTCAGTTTTTTTCGTTAATAACTTGTAAACAAAGCCGCAGATTGCATTTCCGCTAAGGAATAAGTTACTTCAAATGACTTTAGCAACCCCCCATTTCCGTATTGCAAGACATTTTTGGACACCCTATATAGGGTTTGATGGAAGACTTACTTTAAAGTATTTGGAAATTATTTATTATTCTTCATTATTACAGGTAATGCATAAAATACTATTTTTTTATTACATGTGTATTGCATATATGTATTTGGTAGTCTTCGTATTTGTGAATATATTAATTGTCATTACCGATACACAGGCCGAATCTTCCACGTTCCAATAACGACTCGTATATCTTTACACGATTCACGATGACTGCTGTCTCACGGAGTTCGGGTTAGAGTAGGGATAATGAGTCACAATCGCGATGCTAGCCGCAACTATGGACCTCACGCGACAAGAAGGCACCTTTGTGTTCACGTTCCCCTCTTACTAGCTGCCCCATTGCCGCAGCTATCGATCGCTATTGGCCGACGGCAATCTTCATCACCGTTCTCAGCCAGTAGCGACCGATAGCTGCGGCAGTGGAGCAGCTAGTAAGAGAAGGGAAGTAAACACAAAGGTGCTGTCTTGTCGCGTGAGGACTGTACTTAGATTTCACGACATACGTAAATATAATCATTACATGGGTCCGCCTGAGTCCGCCAAGCGAGGGTTAAGTATCATAATTGAATTATCCGGTCAATTCGTGATTCTCACAATTTATTTATTAATCAAAGCAGTCGTTATTTCGGTGCAATCGTAATTTATAAAATAATTTATTTCGCTTAATATGTAACAAAGAATACGGAGGTTAACGACAGAAAGAAAAGAAAACAGTACCTTCGTATAGGCTAATTATGTTTATTGCGATTGCTTCTAAATAATTAACGTATTCAGGAAGAGTCCCGAATTAGTTTATGCATTTGATATTGAACCAGCAAAGCGCAGTTAATTTTCTGCTTTGCATGGCACCAGATATAGAGATGTAAAAATAAGAAGTGACCACCACCTATCCACCTTGCACATTTAAGTTATTACGTCTTAAACTTAAGATGTATGTTACAATCCTGGAAAGTGACCTAAAGCAGTTTGTGAAATGAAACTTTAACTCCATTTTTGGGTCATTATTAAAAAACTAATCAATCGATTGGTCAGAATATAATATGTAAGGAAAAACTACTATGAATAGAACACGTATTGAATGGGACGTTACCATTATCTAAAAAATGATGAGTCTTTTTATAATGAAATTGTACTTGTTTTGTAACTACATTATATATGTCAAGTCATTCTTGATTTGAAGCCGCTACCTGTTAATTATGGCCGGATAATTATGGTAAACAGTTAATTCTTTTTATGTTTCCTTTTTTCCCATAACGTTGTATGAAGTACTGTTACTTTTGACTGAGTTTTTATTTACAGCATTCGATCAGGTATTTCTTCAAAAATGTTCACATATAGCAGCGAGTATAGTCTTCCTTTATCATAGTAATTAAACAAGTTGAAGTTTCATTGTTGTTACCAAATTTATGAATGGGACACAGTCATTGTTTATGGATGGGACGCGAACAAATCATCTGCTGTAATAAACAATAAATAAAATTGGAAACATGTTAATGAACAGGAAAATAAGAAACTTTGTTGAAGACGAAAAAAACGACACGAAAAAGAAGTAAAAATTAGGATCACGAAGATATCACTCTCGATGAAGAGAGTGGAGCACAGATTCATTAAATATTACAGAATCTGGATCAGATAGGAAAACTATTATTAAACCTGAGTGTAATGCAAGAAGAGGAAAAAAGTGATGACGAATGTCAAGTTTGTAAAGAAACATATTTACAAAACAATGAAGACGGATATATTGGAGCTAGATCTGTAATACATGAATATGAAACATATACATATACATGAAACATGCGACATGAATGGTGCCCTAAACATTTTTTGCTTATTATGCCATTAATGTTTAGGATATTAAGATAATTTTTAAGATACTTTTATTCAGAAGCTTTTGTTAATTTTCTTCAGTTCCTTTTTATTGAAAGGAATATATATATATCTATTGTCACAAAATACTAAATTGTGATATTAACCAAAGGTGCAGAGCAAGGTTTATTGTATAATTCAAGATCATTATATGATATTACATGCACTTACAATCAATAAAAAAAGGCAGTACTTATAAGATTGATACTAAAAAATATCTGAAGTAAATGTAGGATAAACTTATTGACACTGTGCATTCTTATAACAAAAAAACTGATCTTTCGAATGTTTCAAACTAGAATTAGATAGGTCATTTAGCTTTTTTTTGTTATCTTGTCCTAAACAAAAGAGTGTGTCCCATTCATGGTAGTTCTGCTCTATTTTCCTGTATTCTTTTACCCAGCA